ACGAAGGATATATGAACCCAACAACCAAACGAAAAAAATCAAGACCTCGACAATTCTATACTGGCTTTCACTCCGATTAAATCAATGCTGAAACGTTCGAAAACTGTGCCGTCTACTTTGAATAAAATGTCTGAAGTATTACCATCACACGATGAATCGTACGTTCCCTCCGTTGAAGAAATTTTCGAAATCGCCAATGAGCCGCTTGCAACATCCGTTTGAAACCAATTGCAAACATCCGAGGGACAAGAAAGCTACAAATGCACTATGGTCCTTTGGGACAAAAGTATCTAAGAGCGGTCCTAAGCGGTAAAAAAGTGATCAACATAGACGACGTTTACGGAGTTTATTTTAGCAATGAGAGAACGAAGCTCGGCAACAAACGGATCGCCTTGGATAAAAACGATAACATAATCATAGACGGGAAAAGTTATGCTGGAACACAAGGACTTTACGAATTGATTTTCATGTGTTATCCAAATAAAGCAGTCTACACTGACGATAACCTACAGAAATATCAGAGTATTCTATTAGCTACAAACGCGTATAGACGCGAACGCAGCGCGCAGGGTCAAATAATGGGTAACAAGGGTCACAAGTATAAGAATATAATCGCGCCCCTGTTGCCAGAAGATGTGAAAAGCGGTAAAAAAATTGGAAAAGGTATACCGCGCACCATGACAGTGAATGATAGCAAGATTGAGTACATTCATTGGGACGATCCCAACGAGCTTGTGGATCGCCTCCGATTGCTCGAGGCCTCGCGTCAAGCTGGTAACAATGCGCACGACAACGAGATGCTGTCGATTATCGAGGAACTTCGCGAAGCGGATATTATTATAAATTAGACGGCACAGTACGAATCATTTAGTCAACATCGAAATTCCGATCAACAAGTTTGGGACGTCGCTCAGTATAGGAACAAGTTCGTACTACCAGTTGAATGGACTACTCAGAAATTATGTGCGCGATAACGCTCTTTGCGTAGTTGCATCCGACTTTGACGCAAAGTCACGCAAGATTCGACGTCTAGCGCTGCCGGTAGATGATAGCGATGTCGCCAACAAACGTTTCGTGCACAGACGATGCAAGTTTTGAAAGACCGACAGAACGAAATCGAGAGAAAGATTATCACGCTTCAAAATAATATGCAAATGCTGATTACCGAGTTTTGAAAGTCGATTTAAGAAACGCATCATCGCGCTGAATAGAAAAGACTCGAAAATGTCTAAAAACAAAAGTCTCGAAAAGTAGCAGCTGATCGAGGGACTGCACGCTCCCGCGAAAAGAAATTTTCCACGAAGACGCGTCATAGTTTGCGGATACGATGACTTGTGGCAGGCGGATGTGGCCGAGATGCGTCCTTACACGTGATTCAACAGAGGTTACCACTACATTCTCACCGTTATCGATGTGCTGAGTAAGTATGCATGGGCCGTACCTCTCAAGGCCAAGCTCGGAAGTGATGTGACTAAAGCGATCACAGAGATAATTCGACACGATGGAAGATGCCCGAAAAATTTACAGACCGACAGGGAAAAGGAATTTTATAACGCCAACGTGCAGAATCTCTTAAAGAAACATGACATCAATCATTATTTTACATATTCCGTAATGAAGGCATCAGTCGTCGAGCGATTCAACCGTACGTTGGAAAACAGCATGTGGAAGCAGTTTACACACAATGGAAACTATAGATGGATCGATTTGCTACCGCGTCTCATGTCAGAATACAAGGCGCGAAAGCATCGAACTGTCGGTATGCGACCCATCGACGTCACCCCCGCAATCGCCAACAAGCTCTTAACCACGGTGTATAACCGCGTGAAGATCGCTGCACCCGCGTGATTCAAAGTAGGTGACTCGGTACGCATGAGTAAATTCAAGACAATTTTTGACAAGGATTATACGCCAAATTGGACCACGGAAGTGTTTAAAACCATCAAAGTGTAGAAAACTAATCCCGCAACGTATCTTTTGGAGGATTCTCGCGGAAAACCCATAGCCGGATTATTCTATGAATACGAACTGCATCGCGTTGCTAATTCCGACGTGTACCTCGTTGGAAAAGTTTTGCGCAAAAGAGGGA